TCCGTTGTCACCTTGTGCCCTAAGTAGTTCACCTCCTTCCTGAACAGTTAGCACTTTTTAGGACTTAGCTTCAGACCAGCGCCAGCTATCCTCTGGAAAACTTCTTCCAAATTGTTCAGGTGTTCCGCAAAGCTTTTACCCAATACGATAATGTCGTCTAGATACACCAAACATGTTTTCCAATGCAGTCCTCTGAGCACATGGTCCATAAGTCCAAAAGTGGCAGGAGCGTTGCATAATCCAAAGGGCATCACCGTGAATTGCCACAGACCGTCTCCAACGCTGAAAGCTGTATTCTCCTTATCCTCGTCACTTACCTCCACTTGCCAATAATCGCTCTTAAGGTCGAGTGTTGAGAACCACTTTGTTCTAGTCAACGAGTCCAGAGTGTCATCGATCCTGGGAAGAGGATAGCTGGCCTTTTTCGTCACATCGTTTAGTTTCCAGTAGTCTACGCAGAACCGCATTTGACCATCCTTCTTCTTCACAAGCACTACCAGCGAACTCCATGGACTCGCTGATGGTTTAATCACACCACTTTCGCTCATTTCTTTTATTATTTGGCTAACAGTTCCACGTTTGTCAAGTGGAACACTCCGAGGAGCTTGACGGATTGGCCTTGCATCGCCAGTATCAATGCGATGTTTCACAACGTTAGTCCTGCCTGGTTTGTCGCCATCCTTGTCGAATATGTTGGAGTATCTTCGGAGAAGTTCCTTAGCCTTGTGCTGGTATTTTTCTTCCAACCCTTCCGTCCATGCATTAATGTCCTCCGCAATGTCATTCTGGCCAATCGAATCGCTTTCAGGTAATTTTTCGCAGTTGAAGATTGCCTCTACCTCTCGACATTGCCCCAGTACAGTTCCTCTTCGGAGTTTGACTGGTGATTTGAACTCATTGAGCACTCGAACTGGGATGCGTCCATCCTTTTGCGTCTTAGCCAGGCTTTTACCAATAAGTACGTCCGGTGTAGAATTTTGTGTTGCTTCAACAACCCACAATTTCTTTGTCCCACAATCGCCATCAATCTTTGCCCACACAACTGCTTCTGACTTCGGTGGAATCTGCTCGCTTTCCTCTAGGATCACTCGCTTGCTGCTGTACGGACCATCATACCCAAACCTAAGGGGCACTTCTATGTTGTTATACGTCATAATCCTGTTCTTCATGTTGATCTGCATACCATGATCAAGCAAGAAGTCTAATCCAATGATGACTTCATCCATAATCGCCGCGACTATGAACTTGTGTAACACCGTCACATTCCCTATTGCGACTTTGCATGTTACCTC